CTTAATAAGATAACGTGGTCGATTCCGAAAGGCGTTCGAACGTTTTTATTTTCATTTGCGGGTCACGAGGAAATGACTATTTTTTCAATTTTTTTTTTTTTTATACATGTACGAAAAACAAGTTTGTTCGTACATAAATGCTAATGTACAATATTGTTTATTTTCGTTTCTATTCCTCGCGAGGAGGAACAATACACGGAACAACAGAACGCGCCGAAGTTTTCCGTTCAAAAACAGTTGCAGACCCGGAATCGACCAAACGTCTGTTGTATCAATGTGTTTCTCATAAAGTTCATTTTATCAAGACGCGTGTTTTGCCGTTGACGTTTCGACGGCTAACAATAACGCACGTATAATAATGCACTCCTCTCTTCCTTTATTAACGCACATTATTCAGACGTTATTGCGCAACGGAACAAAATTATAGGTAATAAAACGCTTTAATGAGAACGGGCTTTCGACGAGTTCTAACGCGGGGCCGGTCGGGGATGTTATCTCTAAAAGTTTACGCGTTCACCCGTACGTTGTTTAGTATTACTACACGTAACCGACCCGAGAAACAACGCTAACGTGCAATAATAACTGTATAACGATACAACCGGATGGAAACAGAAATGCTTGAACACGGCCCCGGATAACGTGATACAGAATCTCCCTAACCCGTGTCGGACATTCCGTTTGGTGGTTCAGCCGCAAATCGTATCACCGCGTGTCTGTGATGCGGTGTCGTACCATACACGCGGACCGATCGGAAACCCGTCTGTTACGGATCAACATATCTTCTTTCCTCGTGGTCGCGATCCCGTCTTGACAGAGTCGGTTTATTATTTTTCTTCACCGTTATACTACTCGCGGGATCAGCGTTTTTTTTCTCTTTCCTTCGCCGTTTCCTTAGCGTGCGTCTGCGTGTAACGCGTCTAAAATTCATAATATTTATATAGAGAGAGAGAAAGGCGACGCTTGCCCGAAAAAATCGAAAAACGTCATCGTTACGCTAGTCCGTTCCAACGACGAAAAACGAACCTGCGCTGACGGAGAGAAAGAGGGAGAGAGAGGGAGCGAGTGAGAGAAAGAAAAAGGACCCTCTCGTGCCGACTACGCGTAACCATAGCGACCGCCGCAGTCTCCGCCCTTGTCGGTGGCGCCATTAAAGGCGCGCGACGAATTCCCGAGGCGGCCATCGGCTGCGGCAGCAATCACGCGTTGCCCGTGAAATCCGACCGTGTGCGGCGCACAGGGACGGCGTTGTAATTATTGTTATTATTATTACGAGTCACCGGGTGGGCGCGCATCGCTGCGCACCGTACTCGGTGGCCCGACGAGGACAATACGGACGTTTGTCCTGGGCTCGCCCCGAGCAGTTTATTTTACTTCTCGACCGGCGGCACCGTATCTATCTATAATCGTGACGGGAACGTGTTCCAAGAAACATGGTACCCGCACAGGTACGTACCGTGATCCGGGTCGGGCTCCAGGACTACAGCAGTATCCCGTCCGTATCGGATCGAACCTCAATCGAAATCAATTTGGTTCTTTACCGATTTATTATTTCGCGAACTCCGTAAAGGCTGGCGCGTCTTCCGAGTCTTTTTCGACAATACGCGAGAGGGATCGAAATGTAGTACAGGCCCAGTCATAATTATTTTAATTTACATAGGGTACACGTTATTTGATTTTTTTCGTTAACTTTTCATACAATTTTTAAATTTAATTGGAAAATATACGATCATATAACGCAATTCCTCCTGATCGACTTGTTAATAACATTTGAATACGTTAAAAAGTAAATAATAACGGATGTAAAAAATATTAATAATTGTTTGAATACGGACGACCCGGGCCTACCCGAACCAACCTCTCTGGGACACGCCACCGGCAGTACACTGAATCGTCGGCGAAGCTGTGTACGTACATTTTTTTTTTCTGTACGCCGTTCGATTGAAAACGTCGTTATTTCGCGTACTTTGATTCCGTCGTTACTCCTGTAATGTATGTTAGACGGTTTTGTTCAGGAACCGTTTTACTTGCGTGTGTTGTTGTTCGCTTTAACGCAACGTATTATTTTTTTACGCGGAGCAAATGGGGTAGTATCGTTATCCGGCCTCGGCTGCGGCAAATCGAATTTCCGATCACGTTCAACCCGCACGTGCCGGTGTTGTGTATAGGTAGCGAACAGTAGATGTACGCCAAATGACGGTCGTAGGGATTCTTCTCCGCTCGCTGCCCGTGTAAAACGACCGTTATCAGCCGTACAATACACACGCCCGCCGCGTTCGTTTATAATATCATCATCATCATCATCGTCATCGTCGTCGTAATCGTTATCATTGTTTCGCTGCCGGCTGCTCGTTTTATCTCGGTCGCACACGATTTCGCCCCCCGTGGCCGTTGCGTGTACGTGCCGCCAACGATGATCGCGCATCACGGTCCTCCTCCACTTATTATCATTACGGTTCGCTACCACCCTGATCGTCTCAGCTCCCTCGCCCTTGCCGATGTACACGACATTATGTATGCGCAAACGTGTGTCGTGTGCACGAGGAAAATGAATATAGTGCGCGACGCGTTGCGTGTACGTAAATCATAATACGACGTTTAATTTCTAAAACGTTTTACGCGTTTACCGCCCTTAACTGTGCGCGAGCTCCTGTGCAGAACGTTTAATGGTTTTATACTCACGTGTACGCATATTAAATGCGTTTCGTCTGTCTTCCGACAGTTTAACCTAAACACCACCGCACACACACACACACACACACTCACCCGACCCGATCGGCGCTTCGACCAGAAGTTTTTATTTTTCCTCTCGAAAACTCGTCTCGATTCGTCAACCCAGTACAATACTGCGCTTTTTATTGCGACTCGGCAGATTAAGACTCGTTTTTACGAGCCCATCGGGTCCGAAGGGCCTGTTTTAAATTGTTTATCATTCCTCCGCCGGTGCATGTATGCTGTACAACACTACACGCATAAATTCGGTCGACGACAACGAAATCCTTCTGGACCGATTGATTTCGTCTTGAGACGGCGTCTCCGACCATGTCGTTTGTACGTGCGTCGTGTATGCACATCGCACTCGATCGTGAAATAATACCGCCGTAATAGTACAATATATTCGTATACGCATTTTATACACATTTAATACTGTCGTTCCGTTTACAAATATAAAACCCACTCCCCTTTCATTCGAAACGCTCTCCTGTTGTTCGATTATCGCTCGTTTAATTTGCACAGTGAATCCTGCCGATTAACGCGCGCTCATATAAACCATATTATTACGATTCCAATGTGTATATCCGCAGTGCTGCTCGTCGCCGGGGCGTATGTATACTATGTGTACGTTTATTTGCGTTTTATATGAAATAATTATGGTATTCTGTACGGTAAACGGTGTTCGGGTGTTTTTACCGTTCGTAACGATTATTGTTCTTTTCTCGTCGGATACTACTGCGAGTTTCGACCGCGTTCCGCCGCAATCACGTTTCAGCTCTTGTTACGCACGTCCGACCGTTGCATTTTTGTAGTAATCGAAACTCTGCCCCCCCCTGCGTGTGCATGGATTTTACAACTCGTTTTTACGGTACGGCACAGTCGTTTGTCCGTACACTTCTGGTGTATTAATTAGAACCCGTTGTTGGTTGAGGTTATTAAACGCAAAAAAAAAAAAAAAAAATTAAATTATTCACACACGCATATCGTACTTTGACGGAAAACACCATATTTTCTCAATCGAAAATCTATTTCGATTATGTTTTATTTGTTTTTTTTTTTTTTAATTACTCTTTCGTGATTGAATATTATTTTTGTTAGGTAAAAAAGAAACTTCTTTGTTCGATAAAAATTTAGAATACATTATTCGTGACAATGAAGGTGTTTGATCACATTATTTCCTATGCATCAAACGCTAGATATTTTATTACGTGTTAATTTTATGGAAATTTCATTTAAATTATCTTTAATCCGTATACACTAAAGATTACCATACATTTCTTATATATATATATATATATATACACGTATGAGTTTTATTCTTTCCATGATTATTGAATTGGTTTCTATGAATATTTTTGTTATGATGAATGGGTAAAGAAGTTTTTTGATTGTATTATACCCTTCATTATCATATCAATAGAGAAGTGATGTTGAAGTTTTGTCGATATGAAGTTTAGTATGCAAAAGAAAAGTAATAATTGATATTACTTCGATCTTAATAATAAATTGCAATGAAAATATTATAAAGTCATGCGGGAGGAGTTAGTAACTCAACTCCGTCAATAGTATTACAAAAAAATTAAAAATTGAAAAAGTTATGAATTCGTGTCCTTGTAAGTTAAAATTATTTTTATTTCATTACTGACCAAATGTCTTATGGATGATAATATTATTATTCTTGAACAACCGACATTTCTATTTGATGAGGTCGTCTGTATATTTATTAATTTTTTTCGAAAATATAAGTCAAACACTACTACGACTACAATAAGAGACGAAATGTAAAGTACTAGTCGAGTCGAATGATTGAGGAAGACTCGGAAGTTAAACTATTATCGAAGTGATCAATGTTTGTACCACCGCCTTATTCGGAAGTAATTGTATGTAGGTAGGTGCTGTATGTTTTACGCTTTCATACGCCCGAAACGGTAGTGCATTGATATATTATAATAACGTTGGTGCCATCATTTTTCAGACACGTTTGTTCAGTTCAGTCAACTGGTTAAAATTTAAATACTGAATGTTACAGTCCCTGATTACTACTCGTAACACGTCCCTACTACTCTCAGTCCATTACTATCATTTACCATACTTGTACTCGTGTACTTGCCACTCCATTATGATTTGCGCCTCACATAACTCCTAAGATACTTTAACCTAACCTAACCGAAGCTAACTCGTGAAACACTCTTCAGAACTCGAACCCTTGATGTGAGGGGGTGTGTGTGTGTATGTGTTTGCCCGTTTTGTCCTAACAATTATGTGTGTTTTGCTTGTCCTGGTTATAGGTCCGAATGGGTGTCCGCGACGTCGCGGCCGACAGACGTACACCAGGTTCCAGACGCTGGAGCTGGAGAAGGAGTTCCACTTCAATCACTACCTAACCCGAAGACGGAGGATCGAGATCGCGCACGCGCTATGTCTGACCGAGCGCCAGATCAAGATCTGGTTCCAGAACAGGCGAATGAAGCTCAAAAAGGAGCTGCGTGCTGTGAAGGAAATCAACGAACAGGCGCGCAAGGAACGCGAACTCGAACAGTCCAAGAAGCAGGACCACACGAAAATGGACGGCAGTGGCGGCGGCATGCACCAACTGCAACAGCAGCAGCAGCAGCAACAGCAGCAGCAGCAACAACAGCAACAGATGTCGCACCATCAGATGTCGCACGAACAGCACAAGATGCAGATGGTGGGCGGTCTGGACAACAAGGGGTCCGCGGACATGCTCAAGGCCAAAACGTAAACGCCGTGAGCAACCCCCTCCCCAGACGCGTTTCGCGTTTTCGCCGCGTAGTAATATTTTATAATACATAATACAACAAAACACCGTACGCACACCGTATACACGAAAACATTTAACCCCCGTCGCGTACGCGAACATTATTATTATTATTTATTATTATTATGATTATTACTACTGTTGCGACGCGTTCGTGTTGTAAAAACTCTTTTTCTTTCAATTCGATAAATACGTAATAATATTAAAAATACTACATTTATATATATATATATATATATTGATATATATATTTATTGATATTTGTATATTTATTTATTTATATTCTATAAACTATTCTTAGATAATATTTACAACTATATATATATATATATATTATATAATATTACGTTAACGAAATAAATGTGTAAAGGAAATAATAAAAAAATAAAAATAAAATAAAATAATAATAATAATACGATAACGATTATTATGAAATTATGAGATAGGCTAGGTAAAAACAAAAAAAAAAAATTAATTGATTTGAAAATATTTTCCATCGTTTTATGTTTATATTTTACATTTACGGAATTCAATACGAACGACCCGACGGAACTGAGATATTCGTTTTGGCCGTGTAATCTCTTGTTAAACCGACGATTCGTGGGATCGCGGATTTTGACGCAGAGAGCAAAATAAAAACCGAAACGAAATGCAACACTCGACCCGGTTTAATACCGACAAAATATAAGTTTTGTCGTACGCGCCGGCGAATTGTTCTGAACAATATCCTTCCGGCGAGTACTGCGGGTAGAATTTCTCTCGTTTTTTTTTTGTAAATTCTTATCCCGCGAGACTGTTGTTCAGCTCCGTCGGGTCCCGTAACCAGTTTCCCAATTTTCCCTTCGGGGGTGGAGGGAGTTCCGTTGCAACAGCCGACGTTGTTCCTACTCGCAAGTATTATTATTAATATTATTATTATTATGTTCGTAACTTCGTACGATTATGGTTATTATTATTATTATTATTTTGATAGTTTTGTTTTGTCGTGCCGGCCACATTTAGCTATATTTTACGCTTTGACGTGTACGACCGTTGACATAGTATAATGTAGTGGGCGGCCCGACACCCGTACACAGTTTCATTTTCTTTTTGATATTTTGTTTTGTTTAAGTTTCCGAACAGTTACGTTTTTACTGATGTTTTTTTTTTTTTTTTTTTTATAGCTGGTTCAAGTTTAAATATTTGTCGCCGACATTTTCGTTCCATTATTTTTCTTTCGTTCGTATTGTGATCAACAGTTTTTTTAATTTTTTTTTTATTCTTATTTTATTTTATTTTTTATCGTTAACGCATTACAATTATTGTTAAGTTCATTTTTTGTGTTCATATATTCCTAGACAAATTGTTTCTTATTTCTATCCCCCCCAAAAAAAAAACCTGTACTATATTATTTCAATTTGTATACTTCTTCTCGTGTTATGTTAAACGCAATAGGTTATCGTGTAAAAACTGCAAAGAAATCAAGATATTATGTTTGTTTACCAAGTAAAGTATTTTTATCCGACATTTTTGTAGATATAGAATAACGCTTTTTATTAATATTTAATTTACTCGTATTTCTAGGATCGTTCTTACAATTAAACATTTAAACTAAAATAATTATCTAATTAATTTTTTCCTTTCATACTTACTGAAGTTTTAATATTTTGTTTTGTTTTTATTTGTATGACAGTGATGTATATTTTTTCTTTTATGCGTATTTAATAAATTGGTCGTAATTCCGGCAATATAAATTTTAAAGGCTTGTCCGAACTTCATTATTTGTAAACTGCTTTATATATATATATATATAAATATATAGATTATAAGGCGTTTGCCCAACGTTTAGACTATTTAGATTGATTGAACAATTTAAAAAAAATTATATACGTATTAAAATATTGTAATGTAACATAGGTACCTAAGTGTTTATGCATATTGTATTTTTAAGGTCATAAATACATACATTGGAAACGACTTTTTTTTTGTATCCATATACGTAATACGTAATTATAGATTCAGGGTAGGTTTTTTAAAAATTATATAGACTGTCAAAAGTTTATCATTACAATATATAGAATTCCTAAAAAAAATTCAACGAAAAAAAAATGTTTTGTCTGATAATATATTATGATATTCTTATATATTGTCATTATTGTTCAAAAATATATTTTTTTTTTTTACGCCGATTTAACTGTAATGTTAAGTGAAAATATAAAAATGAAAGACAAATACGTAAATAGCATTAATAAATATTATAATGTGTGAAAAGTCGACCTGCTAAGACTAATATTTTTTAACTATATTTATTATTATATATAAATGATACGTTGACTTTTTTTCTCTGTCTAGTATGCAGTTTTTAGAGTAGTGTGTTTATGATAAAATATATATATATATATATATATATATATATATATATATATATATGATATAAATAGCGTAAATTATTTTAAAGGTTGTACTTAATCTGTAAATACATATATAAGAGTAGTGCAACAATATAGGCTATTGTTTTTTTTTTTTTTTTTTTAAATAGTAATTTAAATGTTAGTTTTTAAAAAAAAAATGTTTTGTTTTTCAAATGTACAATTTTTTTTTTTTTTTTATATATATAATTAAACAAGCTTAAATTCAGTGCAATATAATACGTATTTCTTGGAAGTTTATGTACATAAACGTAAAATTACGTCTCTCTGAACTTGATTTCTCCGGGCGCTCATCGATCCCCCCAACGGCGGCGGAATCCAATACGCGCCTGTTCGTTGCGTACGAAAACTTTTGAAAAACTCGAGAGTGACGTGGTGCCGGATGGAAAATTCCAATCGATATCGATTCGATACGCGGTACGTTTGTCCGTTCGAAAATCGATTCGGCACAACGCGTACCGCTTGAAGTACACATCGTGTTTTCGTGGAGCGTCCGCTAAAATGTTTCAACGTTTAGTGTCTCCCGAAACCGTCGGGTTCTTTAAAGGGAATAATGGCGATCGCGTGGCGCCGCAATAATCCGAGAACGTTTTAACCTGTCCAAACAACGCTCACCTTTTTCCCGAGAGATTGAAGTGCGCGTACAGCCGTCTCTCGGACACCCCAAACGTTAAAATTTCCGCAGTTTGCTCCTCCCCGTGTGCGCCCGGGGCACGTGTAACACGCGCGAAACTCGTTTCGTCCAAAGCGCGCGCGCGTTTCAGAACTGCAGTGTTTCTGTAGCGCAAAACGGGTGTACGCGTAAAAAGCGTTACTGTCGGTTATAAGGTGTTTTGTATTTGTACAACGAAACGATAGTTCGCTGATGCTGCAAAAGAAAGAAAAATACGAACGCGTACCCGAAGAGCAGTGGTAACGCAATCTTTATACTGCCGTTAAAACAATTATTTTTATTAACGATGAAACGATATTGTGACGTTACGTGGTGTTGTTGGATCTCGTTTCGTAATATTAATTATTTTAATGTCCGAGGGTTCAATGATCACGTTGCGTTGAACTAACACGTATCGGCGCAACTGGAAAGTACATTAAAACGGGTCTAAAATAAGTTTGAAAATCACTCGTACGAATCGCGTGCAAAAATGATAAATAATCGTTATCGTGTAAACTTCAGAGACTATAAAATTATAATAGGAACGCGGAAATTATTCAACCAACAGTGTTACGATTTCGATACGTTTCAGTTATTCGATAATCAAATGGTTATCAAACGAAAAATTATTGATTTTTCGCGTTGGTTTGTCTACAAATATATGAGTGTAAAAATTGCAACGGCATTCATGTGAGCACGTTAAATGGTATCGGGTTTTGGTTTTTTAAACGAATTATTTAAAATTGAAATTAAAAAAAAAAAAAATAATAAAATTCGGAATTACGCCTAAACATTAATGCGTGTGTGAGCAGTGTAACTCGTGTAAGCACAATCACGCGATATCACGTTTACGGCTTATATCTTATTCGGTCATGTACGATGTATAAATATAGTACGCGCACATACTGTTACCGTGTAACATGAGGTTTCGCGTGTGCCAACCGAAAAAGAACACCACCGCGTGTCTCGACCGTAATATTGTTATTAATACATTCAATTGGTGTAAAATAAAAACGGTCGTAAAAATCGTCCCCCGGTTACCCCGTACAAACACTGCGCCATATCACGCTAATCCCTCGGCGTTTTTGTTTTCGTTTCCGTCGTCCGTAGAACCTTTCTCTACCTCTTTACCCCTTCGAACGCCGTACTCAATCATCTGTGACCTGCAAACAATCAAAGCTAATCCGTTCGGTAGCGGATATGTGCGATGCACCAAAAAAAAAAAAAATGGGTTTCTCAAAGCTGAGATTAGTTTTTAAGAGCGATCAGGTGCACGTCCTGGAGATTATACTAATGCCTTAAATCGATGTGTCGAAAACATTTTATTGTTTAGCATTGCGTTTCGGCACACGAATGTTTGACAAAGTGTTTTAACATTGATTAATTTTAAACTCGTTATCATTTCAGTTCGATGCGTATTGATGAATCAGATAAAGTTTAAACCAGTTGTTTTTTGAGGGACTTTCGATTAGTCGCACTTTGGCCTCCCAATGTTTGAGTCCGGTCGTGTAACTTAGGTGTGTACGTAGGCAGATACAGGTATCACTGTAATCTAGCTGCCGGGCACGCGTGGGCACCGCGTTCGATTTTCTGCCTGGGGAGAGAAAACGCTATTATATTAACCGGTGGCTTTCTTTTTATCCCGACAGCGCGGATGAAAATCTATATAGCCCTTCTATATATATATATATATATTTACACATCTTGTGTGTGTGTGGTGCACGCTCTTTTGTACAGGATAAGAAAACGGGAAAAAGGGGGCGGCCGCGGTCCGTCGTCGAACACAGAATCCGGGGATTTTTCTCAGGAGTCGAGGAAGGATAAGGTTATATTATATGCGCGGAACCTTGAGGCGGAGAAGGAAGGAAGGACGAAAGAAGAGTTGTACTAGGGGGAAAAAACGTCGGTGACGATCAATAACGGCAGCAGCAGCAGCAGCAGTACAGTAAAGCTGTACAGTGTACATAGTAGTGTGGGGTAATGCGAGCGTGAGTAGGCGGACGGGGCAGCTAAACTTTTATGGAAAACGGTTACGCCCTGCGGAATGTGCACATAACCTACGGACCCCGGAGCGGTAAAACGTAATTTTATCATTTCGAATTGATCGTATTCCCCGGGAAAATGTTCCAGACATCGGTTTCGAAATAGT